CCCCCCCAAAACAGCACATTCTGAGTCGGGTTCTACCCACCGATTTACCGTATCTTTAACCGTTTAGGAGCTAGAGGTGGATATATTGAAAACACTTGCAAAAAGTCAAGTTTTAAGACTGTTTGACAAACAATATGCAATCTGCGCGGGTTCCTTTTTTTTCGAATTCTTAAGCAAAGCAGAGGGGTGGGGTGTAGTCACGGTGTTGCCCCGTTACAGTCATTTGTCATGTCCAGGGGGAAAATTTCTAGGGCCGCAGGCCCCCCGCCGGACGCTTTAGTTTACTCAAATATGCAAGGTGATTTTCCGGTCACATTATTTATTTGAATATGCACTTCAGTAAATCGCGAGACTGAAATGGTCGGGCCGAAGGCCGAAGGCCCGACCATCGCCGCCGGCAGCCCCAGCCGGCCCGGCCCCTGCCGAACGGAGTTGCTGGTGGAGCGAAGCGGAGCTGGCAACTCCGTTTGACGGAAGGGCGGGCCTGCTTGTTTAAATTTTATTCGCATAACTTCCGGTCACATTTTTTATTTGAATATGCACTTCAGTAAATCGCGAGACTGAAATGGTCGGGCCGAAGGCCCGACCATTGCCGCCGGCCCGGCCTGCTTGTTTAAATTTTATTTGCATGACTTCGAGGACATACAAGGTTCTCAGGAGGTACGTACCACTGGCAAGCCTCCCGCCGTTTTCCTCTTCATCGAGGTTCCGCATCTATTTCAAGGTATTGCGCGTAATTCCACCTCAAACTTCGCACTGGTATTTCGCCTTCATTTCGCGTACGGGTGTATGACCTTATCTTAGTACCTTAGTCGCAGGGGCGGACTAGCGCCCCCCCCCCTCTCTAAAAAGGTATCATTTCTGGCCCTTTTCGAGTTGGGGCCCCGGTATGTAGGTAAATTACCACCTGGGCCCCGGGCCCCCAGTCTGCCTCAGTAGCGCCAAACGCATTCAATGCGCTCAAATTTGTCAAAATTTAGTCATTTTGAATGTCAGAAATCATGTCAAAAGGATTTTACCAGTCAAATTTCTGTTATCTTGGTTCATTTGTCATTCTTGACAAAATATGTTACTATTGTTCTTTTTTATACCCATATGGTTAACAGCACCATTGTTCTTTTTAGCCCGCCCTTCTGCTTTGAAAAAGCTATCCAGCGGGCTTATGCAAACGACCTCGTGTCTGTCTGTGTGTCTGTCTGTCTGTCTGTCTG